CACACACACACACACACACACACACACACACTCACACACACTCAGGATTGCTGCAATCTTTGTTTGTGCTGTAGATCGTTCACTCTAGATGTATTATTGCGGGTCATCACTGCAGATATAATAGATGCTGAGTGCATGTAGGAAAATGTCCTGAATCATTGTTTTAGTGTGTGTTCAGTGTCCTCCTGTAGACGAGCTGATGTGTTAATGATAAACACCCCCCGGGTCTCTGACGGGCGTGCGGGCGGGCGCTGCTCATGCGTGGTCCTGCGCGAGCGTTTGTTTGGAAACTCTCAGACGAAACTCGAGAAAACTTCACAAAATGTGGCGAATATTAAACACTTTTAACGCTCTTGTGAGGCGAGACTTCAGGAGAAAAACACTGCGCGTTTCTGCGCGGAGCCTCGCGACAGATGACGGGTGAGAAATCTGCGAGATAGAGCTGAGAAAATATGAGCTATATCTGACAAACTTGACATTTACGAGACATGAGATATAGAGATATATCACGAAATATGAGATATAGCTCTCTATTTGGGAATGCATGGGAAAATTCAAACCGATTGGGATTAATATGCTACTCTAATAATCAAAATAACTAAGTAAGGGAGATAATAAGGGAGTGCAGCATGTGTGATTGAATCATATCTGATCGCAGTCTATGATCTGTGACGCTGAACGCATGTCTGATGTGTGTTCTGCTGCTCAGAGATCCGCCCGGGGTTCTGGGGAAGCGCCTGAAGGACTCGGCGGAGACGGTGGTCATCGGCGGCGGGTGTGTCGGGGTCAGTCTGGCGTATCATCTGGCCAAAGCCGGACAGAAGGACGTGGTGCTGCTGGAAAAGTCCGAGCTGACGGCTGGATCCACATGGCACGCGGTACGCTAACACACGGGTCAGGGGCAGGGTTCGAATTGTGTCAAAGCTTTTGAGGGGTCCCTCAACCAGCCCCCCCCCTTCACACACAAAATAAATAAATAAATAAAAATAAAACTTTAAAACCGAGCCGGAGAATTTGGTCAGTCGCACTTTTAAACACATTTTAGTTTTGCTGTAGAAAAAAATCTACAAATGCACACTTAATGATATGCTGAAATATGCTTACACCAAAATTGCTAGCGGCGCCCCTGCATATGATGCATATTCTTTGTCTTGTTATCATTGAGAAACCCTAATTCTAAGATAAAAGATTCTTTTACGATGATCAGTGAATCAGGTGTACCAAACAATCACTAAGCAAAGAAGAATGAAATATCTAGCCTAGGGGTGTGCAATGTTGACAAAAATTGATATCGCTACATTTTCTGGGATTTTATCGATAACGATCAATAATCAGACAATATTTTGCTGAGTGTGTTGCGCTGCAGGACTGTCTTGGACAGCTGACTCTGTGGTGGTCAGTTCACAGCAGTGACAGAAATTAATATTTTCCAAGTTTAAAATGATTTTTATCCTTTATGGGCATTTTTACCTTTGTAAAGCCATTTTTTCTAGAAGTGTGTCAAATTCTTACATTTAATCAATAAAGTCAATTACAATAATAAGACATTTGGGGCTGTTACCAAACAAATAAAATCATTATCAACAAAATTCATGCAATGCAGAGGAAACACAGAAGCTGCATCTGAAGTGGCATTAGATGCATATACACACTGTTTAATGCAGATTTCTGCGAAAAAATGGCACTCTTCGTGTGATATTGATCAACTATATGAAATGATATAAATATGTAAATTTTCTGCCCCTATATCTTGAATTTTGGGAGCATTCTAAATGCATTTTATGATACTGAAGCATGCAGTGAAAGAACACGCTCTAAACGAGCATTCAGTCTAGCTAGTGTTTAAGCACTCATAACTCCTCTCATAATCAATAAAGCTGTCCATACACGGTATGATAAATTAATCTCTAAATACATTGCATGTACATCGGCACTTTGTTGCTTATGATGAGGGAATTCACGAGTTTCAGTCTGAACAAAACTCTGGGGTTTCAGCGATGACTCATCTGAACGCCTCTGATTGGCTACTGCATTCCTAAGCTCAACAGAGTCGTGTGTGATTGGTTATAATGAGCAACGCTGTAAAAGTGCATAAAAATAAAATATGATGTAACATAAGCAGGTCTAACTTTAATACAGCAATCGAAACTTCATTTTAAGTATTAAAGTATATTTTGGGGGGTTTTATGGGGGGTCCCTTAATGCTTATGGGAGGTCTGGGACCCCCCCAGCCCCCCCTCAATTCCAACACTGGTCAGGGGTCAAATACAATCTAGATTTGCTGTTTTAGTAAATGCTCCTGGTTGCAGCAAACCCTGTAAGTCAGGAAAGCCCTCCGTGATGAAAGCTGCTGATTAGTTACTGAGGGCTTGAATGCAATGCCGCTCATTTCTGATGAAAGCATCTTCCAAATGCATGAATGCAAATGTAAAAAGCATGACAGCTGACAGTGAAAATGCCTTGTTTTGAAGTCTCTCTGGAGTATCCAGGTTAAACAGGCTGAAACTTGACTAATAAGTACAGTTTGAGGTGATTGACAGCGTATGCCAGAGGTTATGTTGTGTGCACATGCTGTTCTGCTGTACTAGAGTCTGAACGGATGATATTTTCATCCACAGGCGGGACTCACCACATACTATCATCCAGGCATTAATCTGAAGAAGATTCATTATTACAGCATTAAACTCTTCGAGCAGCTCGAGGCCGAGACGGGACAGGTGAGACACATCAATAAACATGTTTACCAGAGCTAGTAATGAGCTGCTTCAGCTCTGTGAGGCGTTTAAAGCTGTATTGAGTGTGTGGTGTATTGGTGGTGACTGCGGCGTGTTTGTGTCGCAGGCCGTGGGCTTCCATCAGCCCGGCAGCATCAGACTGGCGTCCACTCCGGTCCGAGTCGACGAGCTCAAATATCAGATGACCAGAACACACTGGCACCCGACGCCACAGTTCCTCATCAGCCCCGAGAAGATCCGGCAGCTCTTCCCTCTGCTCAACATGGACAAGGTATGAACGCCTGAGGACAGAACACATACATACTATAAGTCACGCCCAGTCAAAATTGCATTCTTGAGAGAGAAAAAAAACACAGATCAAACCACTTTGGTGTGATTTGTCACATTTAATGTACAAATAATGTAAAATAAGTCATGTCAAGTCATAGATAGATAGATAGATACTAATGTTGATTTATTGTCTTTTTCCCCTTTTTTTCTCGTTGAAGTGTTAGTAACTAAAATGCAACGTCATATAGTAAAAATGACTTATATTCTGAAAAATCGTGGTATACGTGTTAAATGTGTGATTGCTGAAGCTGCTTGTCTCTGTGTGTCAGGTGTTGGCGGGTCTTTATAATCCAGGTGATGGTCACATCGACCCGTATTCGTGTATGTGTGTGTGTGCGTGTGTGTGTATGTGTGTGTGTGTGCATGTTTGTTTGTGTGTGTGTGAGTGCATGTGTGTGTATGCGTGTATGTGTGTGTGCGTGTGTGTGTATGTGTGTGTGCATGTGTGTGTGTATGCGTGTGTGCGTGTGTGTGTGTATGCGTGTATGTGTGTGTGTATGTGTGTGTGTGTGTGTGTGTATGCGTGTA